CACTACACAGACAAAAAGTACTTTATAATTGCAGCTATTATTTATTAAATATGCTAAGCATAATGCCTTATATTATCTACCCATGCATATTATAAAATGCCTCAGATTCTCATGATCCTACCATTGGACTAATTTTATAGATGAGGAGCCTGATTCTGAAGGAGGTAAATATTACTCAACTGGCAAATATTACTGATACACAAAATGTTAACTCTGTTCTCCCATTCTATCCTTGTCCCCATTCTAGTAATCGGTTATTCTATAGCAACCTCCGTGACCCTTTTCTTAAAATTGCCATCCTCTGCTTAAACATTCAGTCTTTGCTCAAGTCTTTCCAATGATTACTCTCAAGAGGAAAAGTCAAAGTCCTTTTCATAGCTATGAGCGCTGTGATCTATCCACCTGCCCTTCCCAATTATGTCTCTAGCCTCTTGTTTATCTTCCTCTCTCATTTGCTCCACTCCAGCTATACTACAGCTATACGCTTTGAAGCTACCGTTTCTTCCTGTCTCCAACTGTCTGAAAGGGCTTCTATTGCTGTGACACCATGACCTGAAGCAACTTGGGGAGGAAAGGATTTATTTCAGCTTATAGTTGCACAGCACTGAAGGAAGTCAGGGCATGATCCTGGTGGCAGGAGCTGGTGCAAAGGCCATGGAGTTACTTACCATGGCCTCCTTTCTTATAGCATCTAGGACCACCAGCTGACAGCTGGCACTGCTCACAGTGAGCCGGCCCTCCCACATCAATCAAGAAAATGCACCACAAACTTGTCCACAGCCCAATCTGGTGGGAACATTTTCTCAACTAAGGTTCCCTCTTCCCAAATGACTTTAGTTTTTTCAAGCTGACATAAAGCTAGCTAGCATGGTAACATATTCTCTTTCTGTGGTGGCTACTATGAGTTGTCAACTTGACTACATCTGGAATGAACTACAATCCAGAAATGGAGGGCACAGATGTGGGAGAATTTTTGCAGGCTTTAAAGAGAGTGAATCCACTTCCAGTCTGGATCTAATGAGGTAGGTCTTTGATCCAAATCTTGAGGAAAAAAGACACATGCCTTTAATCTGGGTCGTGAGGAGGGAAGATAATCCTTTAATCTGGGACATACCTTCTCCTGCAAGAGTCTACTACTTCTGTAAGGACAGAAGGAAGTTTTTGCTATTTGCCTGCTTGCCCTCACTTTGCTAGCACACCCACTTCTTCACTGGCATTAGAGCCTACTTTTTCAGGCTCCAGCATATACTGAAGACCAGTTGAGACACCCATCCTTGTGAACTGAGAAAATACTAGATTCCTGGACTTTCCATTCACAGCCAGCTACTGTTAGGTTAGCTGGACTACAAGCCGTAAGTCATTTCAATAAATCCCTTTTAGAGAGAAGTTCATTCTATAAGTTCTGTTTGTTACTCACCTTAAAATTCCCTCACTTCCTTTAGGTCTCTACTCAAAAGCCACCTTCTTTTTTATATTATTTTTTATTTTATGTGAATGAGTGTTTCCTGAATGTATGTCTGTGATTCCAGAGGTCAAGCAGTGTTGAATCCCCTGGAACTGGAGCTATAGATGGTTATGAGCCACCATGTGGGTGCCAGGAATCAATCAAAGGTCATCTGCAGGAGCAACACATGCTCTTAACTGTTAAGCTACCTCCCCAGCCCCAAATGTCACCATCTTTTTGTTTTCTTTTTTTTCAAGACAGGGTTTCTCATAGTCTTGGCTGTCCTGGACTACTTTGTACACCAGGTGGCCTTGAACTTGCAGATATCTGCCTGCCTCTGCCTTCCTGAGTGCTGGGTAAATGTCAACATCTTAAAGGAAACCTTTCTGACAACTATTCTAAATTGTCACATCATTGCTCTCTATTCCCTTCTTGTGCTTTGTACTTTCCCCCCTAAATTATTATCACCAGGCAGGAGAAGCCATTTAGGCAGTTAAGTGCCAACAAGCCTGAGAACATGAGTTTAATCCCCAGAACCCATAAAAAGTTGAGCATGATGGTGTATGCTTGTGATCCTAGTACTAGGGAGGTAGAGACAGGAGGATTCCTGGAGTTCACTGGCTAGTCAGGCTAGCCTTACCTACCAAGCCCCAGATCGCAGTGAGAGACCTTGACTCAAAAAACAAAGTGGATGGCACCAAAGGAATAACAGCTGAGGTTAACCTGTAGCTTCCATACATAAGCACATGTGCACATGGACACCCACACAAGATAAATTTTAAAAATTCATCAGTTGACACCTTACTTTTCATGTTTTTTTTTCCACTTACTTTTTTGTGGTTTACACCTTCTACAACTAGAATGTACACTCCAGGAGAGTACTGAGTTTTTATGTTAATTCAATGTATCTGAATAAAATAGGTATTAATATATATTTTCTCAGCAAGTAAGGAGGAAGCTTTATTTTTCCTAAGTGTTTACATAAAAATGATCTTCAATTATTTCCCAGAAAATACAAAGGCAGTCTGTTTTTGTTATAGTCTGGGACAATGTATTGAATCTTATCCTTCACAAACAATCCCTTTAAAGAACTTCCTATTTTTTATGGTTTTGATCAGATAGCCTTATCACTGAATAAACTGAGCACAGAAGCCAGCTTAACCACAATGTAGTATTGTAATCAAATAAAACTTACAGCAAAGTTAATCAGACACATCTTTAATGACATGCATAATTGTTATTGTGCTGCATGGTAACTAGGCATAAATGGCAGACATTCCATGTAAATGATGCTAATTACTATTCCTGTTACACAGCCAAACCAAGCATGTCTAGGATCAGATTGAGAGAGTCACAGAAGGGAGGGGAGAACCTGGGTATTTAACTCTGCTCTCAGAATAAGAACAAGAACTCTCTTATTCCCTAGGAATTAGACAAATGGCCTCCAAGCTCAGTTACTTGGATTATTCCCATTCTCAAAATGGGAAACTTTCCCTCTCTGGTATAAGAAGCCTATTCCAAGATTCAGAAATTATGTTGAGAGGAGCAAAAAAAAAAAAAAAAGAAAAGAAAAAAAAATTCACTAATTTCCATCCCTAACAAGAAAGATGTGGGCATAGGTAAACTGATAGAAAACTAAGAGATCAGATTTGCTGAGAACCAAGTAAAGGCCACACACACTGAAAAGTGTTTCACATAATTCCTGACTTCCCCAGCCTACCTAGATCCCCAAACAGTTCCCAAGAAAACACAGGAGTAAGCAGAGCAGACTCTGGGATGGTTCCATTGAGAATTCCCTGCTCCAAAATCTCCTAAAAGGCTTTCATGGTCCAGGCTACACCCCAGTGTCTCTGGGACATGATCCCAATTCACTGCTCTTGTCTCTCTCTTCTTTTTGCAGGGACATTCACTCTAAACAACTGTAATTACTTTCCTGAGTAAAAATGTCCTTTCCCAGTAAGACCACAAACCTGTTGGTAGCAGAAACCTTGTTTTACAGCTTATCTAGTCACGCACATAAAAGGCTTACCACCGATTTCTTTAAGTGTTCCAGGGGCTGGAGATGGCTTGTGATTAAAAGTACCTGGTGCAGCACATAGTATTTGAAGACCAGCACATAGTACCATGTAGCAAATTGGGCATCAACACATGCAGGTAAATCCATCTCTGACCAGGGTGAAGACAGGAGGATCAGTGAAGCTTGCTAAAGCTGGTCTAGCTGAGAAAATGTGAGCTCCATGTGCAGAGATGTCCTGCCCAAAGGAGCAGGTGGAAAGGCTTAGAGGAGCACACTCAGTGGCCTCTTCTAGCCCCACATGTGGGATTCGGAGGTTACCAGGTTAGGTGGCAGAGGCCCTTACCTACCTGCCCTGAGACCTCTGACAGATATGACATGGTGGTAAGCAGAGAAATCCAACAGAATACTAGTCTACACTAGTTACCTTTCCCCCCACCCTCTGTGTAACAGAGCCCTGGCTGTCCTCGGACCACACTGCCCTTGAACTCCTTCCTTCTGAGTGCTGAGAAGCCATGGCCACCATGCCCAGCTGCTCCAATTATCTTTAGGAATGGGCAATCCTGAACCTTTCAGGAGCATGGATGACTAAATTGCCAACTCATGTACCACCACTGTGGGTGAACCAGGTGGTCCTCTCTTACAATTTTAACTTAAAAAATACTTCACAAATACACAATTGCAAGTTGAAATACATATAAATTATAAAAACAAAGCAGCATGAAGGTTGCAACACTTCCAAGTACCTAGGGTTTTCAGGTCATTTCTGTGTTGCTCACAGAGAGCTAGCCATGCTGACACTATCTTACTGAGTTAGAAGGTAAAACCATAGACAGAAAGGCAGACTCTGGATGGTATATCAAGGGATCTGATTAACAAAAACCTTTTTCTTGGTCAATACTTCACTATATCAAACCTATGGCTTTAGTATACTCTTAGAAAGGTAACCCAATAGTTTCGGTGTAACTCAGCAGACACACACAGGACAGAAATAGAAATTAGGGATGTTTTTAACAGCTGTCTCTAAGAATGTCTGCTAAACTAAACCACAAGACATACATTTTAAGTGAAAAATGGACCACTGTTGAACTTAAGTTTCTTAAGTTCTTCAGAAGTCTCAATACTGAAATAGGGAAGGTGAAATGTATGGTCTACTGCACTGTACTGGCTTTTTAGCTGTTCACAGTAAAAGCAAATGGAACATTCAAAGAAAAGGCTTTTCCTTCTACCTTCTCCCAAGGAACTTGGTACAAGGTAAATTCTGAAGACGAGGAACACGCACCTGCTGGAACACTAACTAGATGGAAACAACAGCATCTTTAAAGAACCATTTCCCCTATGCTGCACTATACAGGGTCACAAAAGCAACATGTAAAAAGTTAAAGAGTTCTGCTGTCAGCTCTGTATGGTGCTGTACACCTTTAACCCCAGGATTAGGACACAGAGGCAGAAGGAGCTCTCTGAGTTCCAGACCAGCCAGGGCTACACAGAGAAACCCTGTCAATAACAACACCACAGTCAGGCCATCCTGTTGAGTTTTACCTGTGTCCTGCTCCATCAGACCATTGCAGTACATAGCATGGTGTTCAATCTTTGTGGGAGGAAAGTCATGGTCACACAGTGGGCAGGACACCCGGGTACTAGACGAGAATGCAGGAGCAGGATTTTCTTTCTCACCATCTTCCCTATTATCAACCTAAAGATCGTGACAAACGGCAACTGTAAGTAACAGCTTTAGTTTATGTCTTTTCACCCAAAGAACAAGACACATTTCATTTACTTTCAAAGAAAAAATACCTATCAGTTTATACCAGATTCAAAACCAAGAATTGAAAGCAAAACCTTAAGTATTTAAAGACCTAAAGAAGTCATTAGTCAGGGCTGGAGAGATGGCTCAGCAGTTAAAAGTCTGCTCTTCCAGATGTCCTGAGTTCAATTCCCAGCAACTACATGGTAGTTCACAACCATCTATAATGAAATCTGATTCCCTCTTCTGGTGTGCATGAAAACAGAGCACTAATATGAACAAAATACATAAATCTTTAACAAAAAATGAAGGGGGCTGGAGAGGTGGCTCAGAGATTAAGAACACTGGCTGTTCTTCCAAAGGTCCTGAGCTCAATTCCCAGCAACCACTTGGTGGCTCACAGCCATCTATAATGAGATCTGGTGTTCTCTTCTGGCACGCTGGCAGAATACTGTATGGATGAATGAATGAATGAATGAATGAATGAATGAATGAATGAATAAATAAATAAATAAATAAGTAGATAGATAGAGTCTGCAAAAGATGAAGTCCGTAGTTAAAGACAATCAATTTTACTGAAGCCTCTTAAGTCTTGCTCCTATAGTTGCCAGTATCTCACATAAGTAGTTTTCAAATTCTGTTTATTTTGTATATATGTAGGTTAGTTTTGTTTGTTTGGGGTGTGTGTGTGTGTGTGTGTGTGTGTGTGTGTGTGTGTGTGTGTGTG